GAAAACTCACAGAAAACCTCCCTCAGGATAAAATATGACATTTATTTAGCAAGACAAATAAAAGCCCGCAAGATTTAGAAAGTCAACAAATAAAACTATAAGTGTCAAAGATTTATCTTATTTCCTCTCTCAAGAAATCATTTAAAAAATCTAACTGAAATGGCACAGGCCATTACAGAGTTTACCCTGTTAAGAGTTTTTCCAAATGTCAGATTGTCAACATGTTGGCTAATGATTAATGATGATTTTTAGCCATTTAAATTTTCTGATATTTAAACTTTTACTGCTGCTCAAAACCAGAGCCAACGATGCAACCCGTCTTTAAAACTCCAGTTTAATCCATATGCAGCCCTGCCGTTAGTCCTGCATCCGGTTCCTGGTTTTAGAGGAAAGAAATCATCTTTTCTTTGCTACAAGTGAGAAAACAGCCCAATTTCTCCACCATAGCAGAACATCAGGGTTTAAAATTCTGTGTTTGAATTTTAGCTCGGATATCCAGTCGCTTTGTTTGAATGAAACTTTTGCCTTAACAGCAATATTAATATCAGATATCGATATCGGCCCAAAGATTCGCATCGGTCCAATCTTAATTCCAACCAATCTAGTACTGAGCAATTATTTCAGGTTGATATTTTTAAATCAACAACCAGCAAGAATAACAAACAACAGACAAATTAACATGCGATATCAACTTATGGATAGATTTTGAACCAATCATGCCAAAAATTAGCATTTTTAATATATCGGTATCGGTTCTAAAAGTAAAACTGGGCCGATATTAACAATAACTGTTTCGTTCTTTTCTTAGTTTCGTGGTTTGGGAGGAGATTGGTCAGATGATCGGTAAATATCAGTTACCAGCCATATTATCAATATTAATATAATCTCCAACAGTCAGACCCAATGAAAATCCAACAATGTGTAAATATGGAGCACCATAACGTACAACAATTAGTCTCACAATCCAGAGACGACACCTTTAACTTCAGGGCTGGCCAGATTAAGCAATGGAGGGTTTTAAGATTAAGCTGCAGAGAGAACAAGCATCCAGACCGTGTGGGTTGTTGTGAAAGAGCTAGCTGCCATGTCATGAGAAATACGACTGAGTCATAACCGAACGCAGGCAACAACGTTTGCAGAAATACCTCTGACTGAAGACGAGCGATAGCTCCAACTCATTCAGCCTCGCTGGGACAGAAATCCTTCACTTCCAGGGACAAAAACGCAAATATTATTTACATAAACACACATGAAGCCAAATGGAGAAAACTGTGTGGAAGGAAAAAATACTGAGAAGCAATAACTTGAAGTGTCTTCCACACGGCCCCCAATGAAGCTCTGGTCCTTTCCCCAAGCATCACCCTTCCACCGCCGTGTTTCACAGGACGTAAGCTGAGCCCAACACATGATGACTGGTCACTTTTATTTATTCAGAAGAGAAACAGGCCCACAGCATCACAGATTCTCCACCGTACCCAAGCAGGACTGAAACGATTAATCATGATCAATTAAGTATTGAAATATACTAAAGTTAGTGACTAGTTGGTTACTGAATTAGTTTCATTAATAGATTAATCATGATTAATCATTTCATCTCTAATCATGATGTGGAAGCAGGAAGGGTGTACTTAGTTTTAACTTGGTTTTATTTCCATCTTGTCTTCACCTTCGTTTCGTTTCTGTTGTGCGTTTTCAAATGACTTAAATTTAAATAATTTCAGTACTTGCTAAAGTCTAAAACTGACATTTTACTTCCCGCTTTGCTAACTCTACAGCTCTTAAGCACTAACTGTAATGAAGAACCTTCGTTTAGTTATCTTAACGAGGCAGAAATGTGTTTTTATCAGTGCGTGGTGTCAAACGCTTATTGAGCAGGACTGTTTTCCACCATCAGCCTCCATGTCTCCCTGTAGGCCTGATTCTGATGAATCAGCTGAAAAACGGCCAACCCCGAGGCCTTCTGTTCAAAAACGGCAGACATCAGTAAACGCACCGATCAAATGGATTAACGAGGACGAGCCCCTTGTTGCCATGGTGACGTTACACAGAGAAAACTGCCCGTCTTACCGGTTAAAATGCTCATTTTTTTTAGCACAAACCGAGTGAAAACGTTCAACAAAAGGAAGTAAAAACGACTAGTTTCCAAATTTACAGACAGAAAAATTAATGTAAAGTTACTTCTGGTTGCCATCAGCTTGGGTGTGGTTCAACAGCAAAGGTTCAATCCAGCTGCAACAGGTCTGTGTAAATATTAAACACCTCCCTTCATCTGCTTCATATTTGAGTGTTAATGGAGCCTGGTGTGGACAGGAGGCCATAAACAGCCGGGCGCAAAAACCCAGGAGGAGTTTGACTGACTGGGAAATGCAGCTCCTCCTTCTGCAGCTTCCCAACTTCTACTAGATGGAAAACAAACAGGAATAAATCAAAATGTAAAGTAATTAAAATGGTTAGAGAGGGTGATGACACACGCCCAGAATATCCTTTAGAAATAGGAGAGGAAGCGTTCGGTGCTCTGCCAGCTGCAAGCCTGGGATTCAGCAGGAAGAAGGCCTTTTGTTAAAAATTCAAATTCAAACTATTTTAGGCCGGAGTGTCCCTGAGCTGGAGGCGGGCGATGCTTTCAACAGACTCCAGCTCCTCAAAATAAGCAACAGTTTCACTTAAATAGACATTTTTCTGCTAAATTATTCAACAACAGACAGATTTGTTGTTTGTAATCCGTTATTTAGCTTCTCCAATGCTTGTTGCGACGTCTTGTTTGTCCAGTCGGTGCCTCTCTGGTGTTTCGGGATGCTAATGCTAACTTGTACTTTGTGATCCCAGTTTGTGTCGCCTCGCCTGCAGAGCCAGTAAAGATGCGTTCAAACCAAAACGCAGCGCTCTCAGAGGCAGAGGACGCAGCAGGCCAGCCTGACGAAGCACATTTAGCAGAGCTGCAGGTTCAACACGGCGGTGGGAGGAGCTGGGCGGGCTCGCATCAAATGGATTCATTATTGATCAGCAGAGAGAGGAGGTTAAAAGTCTGCAATGTTTCTGGGTTTTTTTAAACAAATTGATGATTAAATCATGCGTTTTACTTTGGCGGCACCCTGTTATCCCGGTTAGGGATCGGTTCACGCCTCCCCTCTGCTCAAACCAAACCGTCCTCAATGAGCCGGAGATTAGCAGCTGCTCTTCGCAAACGGCAGACGGATTCTTCAGGAGCATCACAAAGACCCGATTCTGAGCTCAACGGATGACAGGGCCGCATCCAGAGGGCCCCCAAAGGGGCCCACTGACCAGCCAACACAATCTTTGTTATTATGATCATCAAATAGACATGCTAGCTCAATATTGGCACCATAAAAGTCACTCAAATTTGTTCCTTCCTATTGTAAAACTCATTTATTTTTACAAAAACACATATATAAGTTGGTATGTAACTACCCAATTGCAGTGATGAGAATTTTGAAAAATAAAGTAAAAAATTATGTTTAATTTTACTTGAAAATAAGTTTATTTATTCTTTTTAACCAACTAAAGATTTTCCTAGTTTATGCTTCCAACCAAAAATCAAAAGATTTTAAGACGGATTTAATCAAAAAATTTAAAAAAAGGGTAATTTCAGAAGTTAAACATGCAATATGAAAAATATTTTTGTGTCAATGCTTAATATTGGCTGCAATGATTTTCAATGGGGAAAAATGTTCTATAATAAATAACATTAATTTTTGGCTTAATAAAAGCACAAGTACAAGCTAATGCATTAACATTTACTCAAAGCATTAAAAGAGGAAGATTATTTTTAAAAATAATTCAATAAAGTTGAAGATGAGCAACTATTTAAATGGCCACACACGTGTTTAAATGTTATTTTAATAATATATCAGCTGTAGGTGCTTTACAGTACATTTAAAAAATGACTTCTTGAGTAATTCAGGAAAAAATGACTTTTCATGTATTTATTGCACAGACTGACACATTTAGTGTTTATTTCTGCTTATTTTGAGCCAATTAAACTTAATTGGCTACAATCATCAGGAAATAAAAATCCTACACAAGCTCAATAAAAAAATTTATACTTTTTAAAAAATACCAGGATTTTGTAAAGTATTTTCATTTCTGTGCGCTCAATACTTGGTTGGGGCTCCTTTTGCATGAATTACTGCGTAAATGAGGCGTGGAATGGAGATCGGCCTTTGGATACGATGAGGATCAGGAAGTTGAGATTGCTCTGCCTTCAGTCCAGACACCTGAATTTACTTTGCTTCATAATACTCTCCATTTTTTTTAAATCACACTTTATCCTTCGACTAAACTTTCCATTAATATCTTTGGATTGTTTGCAAAAGTGTTACGTTTTTAAAAGTAGAAATGAAATGCCAACAAATGTCCTGCAGTAGATGCAACATTTGCTACTCAAAGAGTTTTATTTAGCTAGTGACCCTGGACTGATTTTGTGCAGCGACTGGACTGCAATTCAAGAATAAATTAAATAAATTAAGACAAAGGTAAAATTTTAAAATAAAATCTACTAAACAAAATGTTAAATGCAACACAAAGTGATCATATAGGAACAAATCTACCGATTGACTTATTCTCTAAAGACACCTTGTTACGTCCAAGTCTGCTTTTGATTTAACTTGGCTAAATACATCAAGTGTAGAAAATAATATTTCTTGGCCTGCGAGTATTTTTGAACTGACGATTTCGGCCCACAGACTGTAAAAGAAACTATTCCATTTGTCTCATGGAGTATAATTTCAGAGAAGCTGAATTTTGGGTTTTCATTACCAGAAATGTTTAAATGAATAAAACTAAGAAATAAACAATTAGATCTTCAGATATGATCAACATGGCCATTGAGGACTGTGGTCAGAAAAATGGGAACATCTCTGCAGATCCCACACATGCTGGACATGAACTGTTTAGACTTTTACCGTCCCATGGTGTGGTGATATCAGCCTGTACTTAGTGGTAATCATAGCCAGACTGTCTGTGATTTTAAATTTACTTACATGGTCCTGGTTCCGGTCGTTCCCAGGCAGTGCCGTCCGTAAAGACATTGTTCTTCCCTGAGCGAGTCCTCCAGGCGATAAATAAAAATAACTGGGGAATCAGTTTTTCCTTTTGTTCACACTTTGTTCCAAACAAGACCAAAAAGAAATCCAGGGTTAGGAGAAATAGGAGAAAGTCTTTACAATCCTCATTTCTTACAGTCCATGAAGGCAGCACAGGTCACCCAGACGGTGATCCAGATTAAGGTGATCCGTTAAAAACAAACCGGTAACCTCCACCTCATGATGTCTCCAGCAGAAATACCCCTCCTCTAGATTAGCTCCCCTCCCACCCCCCACCCCAAACCCCCACCTCACAACCTCTACCGGATCATCTCCCTAGAACCGGGCCGGACCTTTAAAACAAACCCAGATCATCGGTTTCCATTCAGCTGCATCATCCCGAGGTGACGAAAACGAGCACAACATCCAGGAGGAACCGGGGGCTGATTCTGGGGGGAAACCGGGAGTTAATGCCTCCTGTTAGCCGGCTAGCCTGGCAAAAATCACGGCTCCGATTAATTAAGGAGAACCAGAACCAGCTGAGGATGCGTTTGTGGACGCCGGTGGAAAGCCTCGGCCTCGGGATGTAAATCAATGACCAACTGCGGGTGTGTGAAAGGAAAGCGGCCGCCTCTGAGTCAGTCCGTCCCCCCGGATCTTCTCCTCGGTCCAGTCCGCCCTTTAGCTCCTCTCATTGTCGCGGTGGAAAGGAAACTCACCGGAGTCGGTTCTCTACGTGTCAAAAACGAAATAATTTGTGTTTCTCAGAGGTTAGAAGATCTTCTTTTATTTTAAAAAAGGAGGAGAGAAAACGGAACCTCGCTGCGTTCAGCCTCGGTGACAATAAGGGAGGGAGGGACGTCAGCAAGAACAGGCTGGGCTGCTGCCTTCAGGTGCAGCGCAAGAAAATCAGAAAAACCGCGTCCAAGGCTGATGCTGCGTTCCTTTATGCTCGGACGTCCGATTCTCCGCGTTCAAAGACGGAAATAGCAACAATGCTGCGTTAGATTTATTCTGAAAGTCACAACTCGATTGTGGGAAGATAATTTGTCTTATTGACCCAAACATTAACGGAACATGTTAAAAATAAATAAAAAAAAAACTAGCATGTAGAGCCAAGGGCTTAGCTATGTACTTTCTGAGGTGGATGCCAACACATTAGCAGCTGTAACTACAGCACACAGTTCCAAGACAACAGTGATATGCCATTTTTAAAAAACCTTTTTTTATTTATTTACCAATAATTGTTTTATTCAAACATACACACTTGTCCTTCTTGTTCCTATTAGCATCCTATTTATGCTGTCCTCCATTTTAAACATACATGTTGTTTAATTCCGACTCTGACACAAGTCATCTGGAAACTACCGACGAAAGAAGAAACAAAGCGACCGGCCATTTTACTACTAACTAAAGCTAACCTGAATATTTACTATTCTATTATTTTAAAGACCAAAACGAATAAAAAAGTACAAATAAATAAATAGCAAAGAAATATGGAGCTAAACTAGGGCCATAACTTACAGTGAATAGATAAAATTCATGAATACTTGAGACTCCCTCTGAAAACCCTTATAGCTGCTTATTTTAGTTGTTCAAACATCAAATATACCTTAATATGCATTAATATTCAGTAGAAACTGCCTTAGCTCTCTAAGCTAATTTCATGTTAGAACATTTGGGATGTGCTGCAAAAAAAAAAAAAAAAAAAAAAAAAAAAAAAAAAAAAGCAAATTATGAATAATTTGGAGCTACATCTCTCAAAAATAAAATTCTGTGAATAAAAATGGAGGAAAAAGATACTGGGCAGTAGGAGGCCATTTTCTATTACTATCATAATGTGATCCTGATGATTGGTAAATATTGGTTATTAGCTATAACAGCAATGTTAATATCAGATATCGGTATTGGCCCAGCTTTTCGCATTGGTGCCTCCTTAATTAATTATGCATATCGTAAATCCAAGTTGTATTTACTATCCAACTTGCTTGGTGATGTGGTAATATCACCATATTTTGCAGTATTGGAATAATAACAATAAAGGTGAACCTGAGAGCTGCTTATTGCTTCTTCTCTAGGTAACTATGGCTGCAGGGCAGAACAATAATACAACCACAAACACAAGAACTGCTCTTGATTTGCAATACGCTCCTTTAGTCAGATGTGTGATTTGGATCATTTAACTACACACAACAGCAGCATCTAATCATATTTCTGTTAAACAATAAAAACAATGGAGAAAATAGTAAAACTAACAAGTTTTGGGGTTTTGAACATTGTTAATTGGAATTTATTGTGACAACAATAATCAAAATTCTTATCATGATGAAAAGTGTATCCCAATAAATGATAAACGATACAATAAATGCTCGCCTGACACACACTGAAGTAATTTATGTTAACTCATATGGGGAGTGAAAAAGATACGCTCAAAGAAGTAAAAATTAAACATTTTAAACTATTTAAACAGCCTAATTCAGAACACATTATTTACTCAGAAGATAAACACACAACATGATAAAACATGCAAAAATAAATATTTTTTTGCCACTCCTGTTGATTTAGTGATCTTATAATGTCTGCCATGTTTAAACAGCAGAAATGTTTTAATCAGTTTTATTTTATCTTTCTGATAACATAATATTCAAGCTATAAAGGTTTGAATGTTTTGTGAGTTTTGACAGGACAGTGATCCCAAACACACAGAGTGAATAAAACAGGCAAACATGAAGCATCAGACCTCAGTCATAATGACTCAGCTACATCAGGTTTATACCAGTAAACCAAGCATTTCACGTAAACTCCAGAGATAATCGAAGATAAATATCAAGAAAATTAAACCAAAAGTTTCAAAATCAGAAGAGGCGGGTAGAGTGATCAAAAATTGTTCTCAGGTAAGAGTAAAAAACGTATTTGGTTAAAAAGTCTAGTCAAGTACTGAGTAACTTATCAAATTATCAATCATTTCATGTTTAAAAATTACATCATCAAACAAACCAAAATATAAAGTGAAATGAAAATTCTAGTATTTTAAGGATCAAAGTAATTATTTATATAAGTAACAAATAATAACAAAATCAGGCAAAATAATTTTTTCAAATCAGTTTCTCTCACTAAGAAACTGATGAAACTTTAACAAAAACAGCAGATGTGTGTCTGTTTATGGTGGATTTCTGGTTAAAACATGTTTGTTTTTAATTCAGTGGGTAGAAAATCCAGAAATTTTACTCAAATAAGAGAAGAAATACTTCATAATAACATTACCGAAGTAAAAGAAAAAAGAACAGTGTAATAAAAATACTCTTGCAAGGCCATTTTTCAAACGAGTTACTAAAGTAAATAAACAAATTTTACAATATTTACAACTAATTCAAACTTTATGCACCTACTTTCTATTTTAAAAAATAGTTAAAATTATGTTATATAATCAGAATGAGAGTAGTTTATTAAAACAATAAAGAAAATAAATACTAACATCCATGCTAACCTCTAACTAGGACTTGATCATTTATTCAGTGATAAAATAAATAATTAGGAGGAAAAGTTCAAGCTTGTGAGATTGGATTGAGTTTATTTACCTGGACTGATCTGAACCTGCCGGAGCGAATCCAGGGCCTCATCCTGGTTCTTGCCGGGAGTCCTGCAGACTGAGGCGGGGACGCGCAGCGGCGCGGCGCGGAATCGATCAGCTGATCAGTCTGAACACGGAGAACGTCACAGCGCGGCGGGTCGATACGCGTTAATGGAGGAGAGGCTGTGGTCTGTTTCTGTTGCTCTACATCCAGGGTTAATGTGTGAGTGAACACAAAAACAACAACAACAAAATATGCAATATTTAGTAGCAAGAAAACGATGTTAAACTCATGATAAACTATAAAAATGCAACGAGTGAATGTGATACTTGGCTACAAATTGTATGGAAGGCCATCAGGGCCACAAAAATAAAAAAAGAGAATTCTGATTTTAATTCCAGAATTTATTTTTTCTCCTCAGAATTTTGACTTTTTATATCAAACCTTTTTATTTTTACTTTAATCTTTTCACTTTAATGTCAGAATTTTGACCCCCCTCCCTCCCCATAACTCAGTTTTTGTTTTTTGTTTTTCCCCCAGAATTCTGACTGGGGAAAAAAGTGTTGTTTTTTTTCCCCACACACACACAATTTCATGTATTTAATCTCGGAATTTTGACTTCTATGTCAAAATTTTGACTCTTTTTCTCAGAATTTGTATTTAATCTCAGAATTTTTAACTTTTTTTCAGAATTTCTGACATTTTTTAATCGCTTCTCTGGTTGCTTTATTCTATTCTACAATAGAGCAACCAGTGTTTTTAATTATTTGATGTTTTTTTCTAAGACAAGACAGCCAACTCTGCTCATCTCCTACATTAGTGGTAATAATGGGTGCTGCTCCTGCCAATCCCTCTGATGGCGCCCTGACCTGTAATCTGGGATTACAGCCTGCCGTCAGGACAGCTGCTGATGTCATTCATAGGGATTTTAAAATAAGTGCACAGCAAACTGAAGTAACGATTTGTCTTGTGACACGTTCACAGTTTGTGTTTTATGAGCAAAAACAGGAAATCAATAAAAAAAGCAACGATGGAAGTTTGTGTGCTGCTGAAAAGAGAGCAGCGATCCTTCATTATCCTCAGGGAAAAGGATCCAAACCTCTTTTATTTAATAAAAAAGTTCATTTCCATACAAAAACAGAAGGCAAGTTATAACTGCAAGGTCAATGACGCCGTCAAAGAAACGGACCGAATCGAATCTAAGAGCCTAGCGCCCTCTGCTGGTAAATAAGAGAATCGCATCGTTCAACATTATACTGCCGCTTGTAAAATCAATTGTAAAGCAAGTCACACAAAATTGCAAATAGCAGTTATTAAGTTATAGAATATTTTAATTATCACTAGACAAATGATTTTGATGGAAAAGACGATGACTTCTGTTTATGCAATCGAGCAACCAGAAGGAAAAGTCCAGTCGACATGAACTGATCCTCAGATGGTTGAATGATTTTATTTAATCTGCAAAGAGCCTTAAAACTAACCTCATATGCTTCCATAACAGGTTAGGTCTGCGGTCTATACAAAACATGTTCATTACATTTTTTGCACAAAATCTTAAAAAGTGAGATTTTAGTCTGGTCAATTCTGCCTATTTTGATCTCCTTACAGATTGAGCTGTTTTAGGGCTTCTGTCACTTTAAATCCAAATAAGCTGCTGGTGGCCACGGCCTTCAACTCAACATTTACAATCACGTTAAAATGGCTGCAAACAAATGGGAAGTTATACAACTGTACATGTTTGAAAAGCAGAAGTGGAGCCTCCTGCAAAACCAACCAGAAAGCAGCAGCTACTTTGTGGGTGATAAGTCAACAACAAAACACTTGTCTTTTCCAGCAGCCATTGTAAAATCAGCAGGCCAAACAAGAAGAAATCCTTCCTGCCTGCAGCCAAACCGTACGACGCCCAACTCTGAATTACCTGTAGATTTAGTCATATATTTCTATGCTTTTATTTCAAGTTATTTATCTAACCTTTAAATAATATTTAAATTACTTGTAATTTCCCACTTGTGTTATAAATTTCATACTACCTTTGTTACATTTATATTTGCTTGTCAACAAATAAGCAATTTAATCTTGGACATTAATAAGCATAAATATTCTGGCTCAAATGTGCTCGAATTCCATCTGGGTTGCTAGGTAACGGGTTGGGGTTGGCTGGGGTTGCTAGGTAACAGGTCAGGTTCTGCTGGGGTTGCTAGGTAACGGACAGTGCCTACTTATTTGAGACGTTTCAGTCTGGAGATTTTTAAACCGGCTCATTTTTCAGATACAAAATAACAAACTGTGCAAACTGTGAATTTTTGCTTATTAAATTCACTTTAAAATACATCAACTAAAGTGTTTCCAATGAACTTGGATGTTATTTTTAACCTATCAGAGGCTTACAAAGGCATGACATCATCCCAGATTGTTTAAAGACTTGGTAAGATAAATTAATGCAAATTTCTGAATTCCATGATGTTAATGTTGTATTGTTTACTCACAGGGTTGGGTAGTAACTAGTTACATTTACTTAAGTAACTTTTTGGAAAAAATTGTATTTTTACTACGCTGTACTTTGAGTAATTTTATTATGAAGTATTTCTTCTCTTACTTGAGTAAAATTTCTGGATTTTCTCCCCACTGAATGAAAAACGACATGTTTTAATCAAAAACTCACCAGACTCAGACACACCTGCAGTTTCTGTTAAAGTATAATTCGTTTTTTATTGACAGAAACTGATTTGGAAACATTTTATTTTGCCTGACTCTGTTATTTTGTAATTATATAAATTATTTTAATATCAGTCTCTAAAATACCAACATAACTATATTTTGGTCCGTCTGGTGGTGTACTTTTAAAATCTTAAATGATTTTTGATCAGTTACTTTGTACGTCAGTAATTATTTTATATAGTTTTTTACTCTTACTTGAGTGATTTCTTTTTACTTTTGATTGATTAAAAATATGTTGAAGTAGAGCTGCTCTTACTTGAGTGCAGTTCCTGGGTACTCTGCCCACATCATCATATTAAAAAAGGCTCAAACTAATTTTTTTGTTCTTTTTTAATTGAGTCATACAACAATATACATTTAAAAGTGGAAAAATTGAAAGAAAAGTCCTCAAATCTTTTGAAAACAACTCAGGCAGTGACCACTAGGCGTCCCTTTTTCTCTCTTCAGTAAAAACTTTCTAAGTTTTCTCTGGTGTTTCACCAGATGCATCTTAAAGACACTCAAACCTAAAAAAAAAAAAAAAAGAAAGGGAGAGAGAGAGAGAGAGAAAGAGAAAGAGAGAGAGAGAGAAAAGCCCCTCAGTTGTTTTTGAGCCGTTAGATCGATCAACCCTCCTGTCACGTCTGAAGATCACACACTTCACGGAAACGCTGCTTTCTAATGAGGTAAGATTTGATTTAAACCTAAATTTACATTTAAGTGCATTAATATCTAAAATATAAAACAGTAAAATCATAAACATTGAAACCTGTTTGCTACTTTATGTCCAACATGAGTCACAAATAGTCTGTTAACGTAAGAGGTTATAAAAAAAGGACCATGTTATAATTTAAATGTTTTTCTGTGTTTTGCTGCAGCTGATGATGCTAGCAGCGCTAACGCTGGCCTCTCTGGGCCTCTTGGTGTGGGCGTCGGACCTCTGCCCGCCCGCCTGCCGCTGCTTTGACAACCTCACCACGGTTGACTGCCGGGACAAAGGCCTGGCCCAGATACCGCTGCTGCCAGCCGGAACGCTGAAGCTCTTCATCTTGAACAACAAGATCAAGGAAATACCCGAGAACGGGCTGAATGAGCTGCAGGTACGCAGCCGCATGCTGCAGGATGCCGACACATGCAACGCGCTGTAGGCTGTTGGTTAAACGCTGCTGCTGCCTCTGAACAGGCATAGAAAGCATAAGCTTGTGAAACCAGCTGACACACATAAAGTCTTGGTTGTGGGAAGTTCACAGGTGTTTTCTCAATGTGTTCAATTCAGTTTATTTACACACCAACAACTCTAAACAAATGTCATATCGAGGTAATTAACAAAAAAATAATAATTTCAATTCAATTAAAGATACATTTTCTTGGACAGGGGTGTCCAAAGTGAGGCCAGGGGCCATTTGTGGCCCGTGGAGTGGTTCTGTGTGGCCCCTAGACACAATTTAGGACTGGATGAATGAGACTTTCAATCTTTTACAGATCATTTTTAGCTGTTTTTATTTTATCAGCCCAGTTTTTTTTAGTAAGCAGAGCCACAAATCTGCTCAAAAACAGACTTAAGTCACAAATGGTCTAATTAAAGTTAAATGGTTTTCAAAGAGAGTTTCATTTTTGTTGCAGGTAATAAACTAAAAATTTTATTTGTACCAACAAATTAGGAAATTGTTTAGCGTTAAAATTATTTTTCTGGCATTTTAATTAAAAATGCTTATGAATTTGTTGCTGATCTGGTAAAATTATGTAGCATTTTTAAAAGGTTTGGACACCACTGCCTGCAGGAGGGTGATTTACAAAAAAAGCACACCACACTTTTCAGATTTTTATCACCTTATTTCTTTCTGATGATAAAATCTACTGAAATCAGGATTAGCTGATTGTCGCTTGTGAAAATGTAGAGCAAATGTGTTTTTTTGGTTAAAAATAGACTTTTAAAGAAAGTTATGCTTTTTCAGTGGCTGTTAAAATCAATCCTGTGTTTTGTTATATTTTTCTTTAATTACAAGAATAAAGTCATAGTTTGATGATTAAGACACAGTCATTTTAAAGATAAAAACTCTTTGATGGTTTTGATGTGACCGGATCAGCCTGAGTGGTTTTATTTCACATAAACTCAGTTTTGATTATTTGTTTCTGTTACTGATAATAATTTGATGCTCGTGTTAAAAGTTTATCTTCACAAGATGCTCAACATTCCTCTTTATTTTTTGTAGTAGTTCCCATAGTTAGTTTTATTTTCAAATTATGACGATTTTATAATCGTACAATTATGACTAATCTTGTATTATTTGACAGTTATACCATTCTTGTATTTGTCGATTTATTATTGTGTTATTACCATATTGTTGTGATATAACTTTATGATTGTGTTGTTACAACTATTGTATTATTACCATATTACCATGTTATCATAACCTTATTCTCCTGTTATTACAAATTTATTCTAGCATTATTACAACTTTTCCCATATTATTAAGACGTTCTTGTAGTATTACGACTTTACTCTTTGTATTTTCATGACTATTCTAGTAATATTACTACTTCAATCATATTATTACGACTTTATTTGCGTACTTTAACTATTCCCATAATACAGCATTATCCTTTTAATTATGACTGTTCTTGTATTATTACAGATTTACTCTCGTATTACTATATTGTCGCATAACAATTTTACTCTTGTATTATTACTTTTTGTTGTAATATTGCATCTTTATTCTTGTCTTACTATGGCTCCTCTGGTAAAGTAATGACTTTACTCACATAATTATGATTATTTGAGTAATACAACTTTATTCTCATAATATTTTGACTTTATATTTGTAACTTTGCAACTTTATTCTCCTGTTATGACTTTACTACTTCCAATATCCCAAGTGACACATGTAGAACTTAGTCTTTTATTGCTGAATGCATGTCTAACCTCCTCTGTGTGACCTCCAGGTCCTGGACCTGACCCATAACCAGCTAAATGCCTCCCTGAACCCGGTTTGGCCCAGTATGACCAACCTGACCAAGCTGCTGCTGCGCGACAACCACCTGGCGTCTCTGCTTCCGGGCCAGTTCCTGAACTGCCCCGCCCTCGTCTTCTTGGACCTGAGTAAGAACCACATCCATCATCTGACGCCGAGGTTCCTTAACGGGTTGGCCAATCTGAAGACGCTGATCCTGAGCCACAACCGGATCGAGACGCTGCAGGCGGAGGTTCTGGAAGACGTCGTCGGCCTCACAGAGCTCCACCTGAACTTCAACAGGTTGAGGGAAATAGAGAGCGGCGTCTTCAGGAGATCCGCCATGTTGAGAAAGTTGGATTTGTCCAACAACCGGATAGTAAAAGTGGAGGATGGGAGTTTCAGAGGAGCAGCTGGTTTGAAACATCTGGATCTGAGTGGAAACCAGCTGGTCACCATTCCAGCCGATTCCTTCTCCTCCCTGACTGAACTGCATCACCTCAATTTGATGAGCAACAACCTGACGGATCTGTCGGACAGATCGCTATCAGGCCTGACCAACCTGACTGAACTGGACCTGAGTTGCAACCGGCTCTCCTCTCTCCCAAGCAAAGTCTTCAAAGACCTGGCCAAGCTCAAGTTTCTGGACCTCTACAGGAACCGACTGACAGAACTCCCGCCGGAAGTTTTCAGGAGTTTGATCAATCTGTCGGCTCTGCAGCTGGATGGAAACCAGATCTCAATGCTGCCGCCGGAGGTTTTCGCTGCGTCGCACAAACTTCAAGACCTGCAACTGTCTCACAACCACATCCTGGAGCTCCACCCAGCTCTGTTCGCCAACATGTCGTCTCTGCAGAACCTTCAGCTGGCCCACAACGCCCTGACGCTGCTTCCAGAGGACCTTTTCCACAAGCTGCAGGCGCTCAAAGAGCTTCACCTGCAGTACAACCACATCACTGTCCTCCACCAGTCAGTGTTTGACGGTTTACCAAATGTAACCAGAGTGGATCTCTCCAACAACCGTATTTCGTCTCTACATCCAGACCAGTTCAGGGATCTTTCCAAGTTAAAACACTTGAAACTGGACAGAAACCAGTTGGCTAAGCTTCCCTCAAATCTTTTCACTGCTCTTGGGAAACTTGTGACGCTGGATCTGGGCCACAATAACCTCTCGGAGTTGTCCTCAGACACTTTCAAAGGGTTGATCCACCTGAAGAACCTGATTCTGAGCTTCAACCCGCTCCATAGCGTGCACTACAACGCCTTCCAGGATCTGGGCAGCCTCCACACGCTGCTGCTGCAGAACAACAGCCTGGAGAGTTTACCGCCCGAGCTCTTCCACCCGCTGCCGAAGCTCAGGGAGCTGAACCTGGACGGAAACAAGCTGGGTCGTCTCAATCCTCGCCTGTTTCAGAAGCTTAAAGACCTCCAGCAGCTGAGCCTGAAGTCCAACCGGCTCCGGTCTTTAGAGACGAAGACTCTGAAGCCTCTAAAGAAGCTTACACTCATCTACCTCTCTGACAATATGTGGAACTGTACAAGTGTTGATATTTTCTACTTGTGCAACTGGCTTAAAGTAAATAGAGAAAAACTGAACGATAAGCCGGTCTGCTACTTCCCATCCGAATCAAAGTCGGCCCTCTTCTTACTGGATCACTGCGCTGCTGCTGCGCGCTGCCCGCCTTCGCTTCCTCTACAACTGCTGAGTGTGCTGACGCCTTCTCTCATCGCTGTAGCCCACAGCTTCCTCTGAAGTGGTTCACGCTTCCTGTACGTCCGCTTCCTTTATTCGTCTGCACTCCAAGATCAAACGGCGCAGGCAAGAAGATCTGAGCAAATCCAACTAAAGCCTCACGGTGCTCACAGTTCGTCACATTCAGAGGGTTTTATATGACGGACCAACTCAAAGAGGCGCTCAGTACGAGCTTCTGTAGGCAGAAACAAAGGAGGAGGAAATCTCAGAAATTTTCTAGACATAAAACTTCTGTTTGAAAAGTTGCAAATTTGCCAGATAAAATTAGGAAATTTTTAGATTGAACTTGAGAAGTTTAATCTTTCTGCACGTTTGCTAAAAAAAAAAGAAAAAGAAAATAAAAACAACAGAAATTTTCTAGAAAATTCAAGGGAAATTGCTTTAGCAAATCCAACTAAAACTCAAATGTTCCTCCATTTGTTGTTTCTTTAAAATATTTGTTTTTCTTCAATCTTATCAGTTTGTTTTGATTGTAATGACTTATTAGTAACATAAAAAGATTCGTTTGTAACTAATCATTTCTGTACCAAATAAACTTGAATAAATGAAACTTATCTTTTTACTCCAATCAGGAGCCATTTTGTATCTGCTGATTAAAATCACAATAACAGACATTAAAATTTGAGAAAAATGTTATGCTCTTTTCATCAGAAAAGCCATTAAATGTTTGTTGAAGGTGCTGAGCTCAGATTAACACAGTTTCCTCTACAAGCAGCTGCAGAAGGAAAAAGATACCAAAACTCGTAAAATTATTATTGTGCAAAGCTGTAAATGTCAGAAACAACTTACCATTCCAGGAAAACTGTTAATCTGCCGTCATCTGTGGCTATGCTAACTAGCCTTAGCATTCACGACGGCCTCTGTTGTGAAGAAAGAGCTGTAGCTTAGCACATAGCAAGAGCAATGGTGTGATCAGCGTGTACATGTATTTAGAAATTGATTTTTTCTGTAAATCTGCATTTTGATGGGTCAACACTGGACAAAATGTTGTCACATTCTTTATTGTTTAAGACAAAAAAAATATTTCTACAGCTCTTTCGAGACCCAACATACTCAGAAATAAGCCAAATGGACATCCAACCTGCGGTCCTGAATTCTGGAGAAAAGTTCAGACATGAATCCATTTGAACAGCAATTGAGTCAATCCAGATCCACAAACCGAACCAGATCATCTGTTGTTTCAAACATAGAAACACTTGTGGTCCTTGAGGTTCCTCAGATAGGAAAAGCTCTTCCCACACCTGTCGCACATGAACGGTTTCTCCCCGGTGTGGATCTGCTGGTGAGCCTTCAGGCTGTTGCCCTGGTTGAAGCAGCGGCCGCAGATGTCGCAGCTGAACGGCTTTTCGCCCGTGTGGATGCGCTGATGCCTCTTCAGGTTGCCTGTGTTGCCAAAAGATTTCCCGCACGTGTCACAGCTGAACGGTTTCTCGCCGGTGTGGACCACCTTAAGAGGGGGAGGGAAGGGAAAGGCGGGTAAATTCAAAGTTATGACAGAAAATCAGTCATCAAGTCCTGCTAATGGGTGGAAATGAACAAATATGTAATCCTTTTGTTCTTATTTATTTGATGGGAACAGGATACACTTTAACATAGCATGTATAGCTATGGCTAATTTACAATGTTCATCCCTAAAACAGCTTTTACATAAACAAAATCAAATGATATAATTATAGTTTACATGCTATCATCATCATGTTGGCTTACACAAGTATGATAGCTAACTTTAACTTTAGCTAAAATGCTAATGTTAGCTTAACAGCTAATTTAACTTCTGCTAATCTTCTAATAGTGAAGCTATTTTTTGTTTAGAGCTTGTGCTAATTTTAATAAGCTATCATTAGCTGAGTTTCCATTGACCTTAAAATTGGATGAATTGAAATTACGAAAATAAATTCACTTAATGGAATCGCGAAAACAAACTGCATTTGTTATTTCATGGAAAACACCACAGTTGTGAAATTGCATTTTTTTGCATTAGTTAAAAATCAACAAAGTTTTGCACAAATTTGTAATGGAAATCCAGATACTATTAATATCATGAGTTCACTGAGAACAGGAGGGATTCAACTGTGCAAACATTTATACATTCATTTTAAATAAAACTTTATAAAATGTTCAATGCTTAGTACATTTAATTTCTGCAGAAGCTGCCAGTGCTGTGTTCACCTCAGTACTCAGTTTATTCATAAGAAACCCACAATTTAAGGAAAAAAAGCTGCTTTTGTATTAAATAGATCATCAGTAATCAGTATCGTGCTAAAACGACCCAGTGATCCATTGCATCCTTACAGCTGTGATGCCTCTGAGCAGCATTGTATTTAAACCCCTAAAATCAAGAAATAAGGAAATCGTAAGTTAATAATTCCTAGACACTTTTAGCAAAGCCAATCATTATAAACATAGATTTATATTAACTCTATTAAACACTGGACATTTTACTGCTTTTTGTACCTTTTTAGGATCAGAAATTAGTTCAGCAGAGAGTAAAATGTTGTTTATTTAATAGGAAAACTTTCCATCCTGCAGAGAAACCCACCTGATGTGATTTCAGGCTGCTTTGCTGTGTGAACAGACGTCCGCAGATCTCGCAGGCGAACGGCCGCTCGCCGCTGTGCGCCTTCAGGTGGATCTTCAGGTAGCTGGACGACTTGAAGCTCTTCCCGCAGATGCCGCAGCAGTGAGGTCTCTCCAGCGTATGCTGCTGCTGGTGTTCCCGCAGCTCCGTGATGGTGCACAGGCGCTGGTCACAGTGCACACAGCTGCATGGCATGGTCATGGCGTGCGTCTGGGTGTGCTTGCGTAGGGACTCCATGCAAGGCACCACGGTGCCGCATGCGACGCAGGTGAGTTTCCTCTCGTCCAGGTGAAATGTCCGCTGGTGCATCTTCAAGGCGTTCTTCTGGATGAAAGATTTCCCGCAGGTCTCGCAGCTGAAGGGACGCTCCCCGGTGTGCAGTCGCTGGTGGCCCTTCAGCGTGTCGGCCTGGTTGAAGCTTTTGCCGCAGGTGTCGCATTTGTACGGCTTTTCGCCGGTGTGTATGCGTAGGTGGCGCTGCAGGTTACCTGGTATGGTGAAGCTTTTGTCGCAGTAGTGGCAGTTGTACAGTCGCTCGCCGGTGTGGACCCTCCGGTGCAGCTTCAGGCCGTGAGCTCTGTAAAAACTTTTGCCGCATTGGTCGCAGCAGAACGGACGAACGTCGCCGTGGAGACGCTGGTGGTTCCTCAAGAGCTGCTTCAAGGTGAAACCCTTCCCACAAACGTCACAAGTGTGAGGTCTCTCATCTGCAAACAGGAAGAAAACCGGAAAATGTAAGAAGACAATACAAACCCTGAGTTTATTGTTGTTCTGAAAGACGTTTTACAAAACGAATAGCATGCATTATAACAACTGGTTTTATATCTTTTGTCTTAATTCGGACCTTTTAAATATGTATTGCCTCCACTATTTTTTTTATAAAGATTTTGTCCTTTATTGAGCCCAGGAAATGTTTTTTGGTGCCATATTTTAATACACAGAACATTAAACATGACAGAGAAAGACGTACAGGTTTCCATCCGTTTCTCTGCATTCCATCAAACAAGTAGAAAAATATTTTAAATGCAAGAAAATTTTTCAGTTTTGAAACATTTGTCTTTGTTTGTTGTGTTCATAGTCAGACTGGCTTAGGTTATCCTGATGTAACTCTGCAGTTGTTCTGCTACAGGCTTAGGTAACCAGAGGACAAACTGACCACTGTTCACTCTGCTACTTCTCCTACTACTCTCCATTTTTGCATTACTTCAACTTTTTCACTTCATAGAAACAACATCCATCCTGTTGTTTTGTTTGTGTTGGTGCATCTGCTCTGTCGTCTCAAACCTTTAAACCGATTTAGATAATTAACTGAACTTGTTTGATGACTCGGTCCAGTTGGAATGGATGTTCTTGACTTGGAATCTGCTTGCGTCACTCACTGCATACAAACTGAACTAAGGGGAAACTTGCCCTTGTGAATCAGCATGTGAGCGCTGAGGCTGCGCTGGAAGGAGAAGCCCCGCCCACACTGGGAGCAGATGAAGGGCCTGTCGCTGCTGGCTCCGTGGACGGACTGGTGCGCTTTGAGCTGCAGCAGGTTGCTGAAGGTTTTCTTGCAGATCCTGCAGGTCAGGGGCGACTCCCTCTGACCCCGGCTCCTCTTCGGCCCTCGCACCCGCGACCTGGGCTTCACCAGGCCTTTAGCACTGATGGTGTAAACCGAGTCGTCCAGCTCCACCTGAAACATGATGGAACGTTGTGGTTTGTAGCCAAAATCGTTTGACATTCATACAACAGCGTAAAATCTCTTTTTCTGATTATGTTTCATGTCAAAATCAAGGTTTTAATCTATATTTAAATTATAAATGCAGAGAAATTATCCGTCACAAAAACAAATTTTGCTAGGTGATAAATTGTCCAAGAATTTATTGCGATAAACGATAATTTTGTGGTTTTGAACCCATTTTCAACTGATGTGACGGTAATAAAGGCATCAGAATGCAAGAACACGTTCTCAAAAATCCATAAACTTTAAATTCTGATCAACGTTTCACACTGGAACTGGAAAACATTTTAAATATCCAAACTAAACAACAGAAACAACAAATAAAAAGGATTAAGAGTCTCTGTAAACAAAATTATTCTTCAAAAAAGTTTTAGTTGAGACCAAAACACCAGACTGAAGACTTTATCATCCAGTTTTTGGTGGAAAGAGAAAAACAATGGAAATTATTCTATAATTCAAATTATCATGTGATTATTTGATGCATTGCTTATTGTGACACAAAGTATTTGTTTTGTTATAATCAAGCTTTTATAAAAAGTAGACCCCCATCTATCCGGAGACTTTTATTAAAAAGCCAATTTTGCTTTACCCAAGTTTACTTTTATTTAATTTATTAAGGCGATTAGAAAGAAAATGACCCGAATCTTTTTAATGTAAACCTTTCATATTAATCACATTAACAGTCCTAGTTAAAACCCACAGCTTCCAGACAAACAGGTTTGTGAAGCAGCTGACCGTGTAGTCTGGGTCGTCGTCCTGGGCGGGGTCGTTTCGGTTCGGGTCGGAAATGACCGAGGCCTCCAGGATCTCCTGCTTCAGTAAAACCGACTGGATGCCGTCCTGAACGGAGACAGACTGCAGGTGAGCAGGGGGAATCATCCACACATAAACCTGACGCGTCACTTTCAGTCTGGCTCTGGATGCTGAGCAGCTGGAAGGAGATTTGGTTTCACTTTCAACGTTGTTTTGGTGAGTAATCTTGGCATTAAGGGATTGTTTCTAATCAGCTCAAATACCTGCACTGAAAAAACTAAATCTTAAGTATTTCTGGTTTAGTTTCTTGTGGAAATATCTGAGTACACATGAAATATGATAAAACTAATTTACAAGTAACTTTTCAGCAAGAAGTGTGAGATTATTTTAAGTCAATAATTCCTTAATGTTGATGAAAAAGCTTTAGTTCCATTGGTAGATTATTTCACTAACATGGGAAAAATGTCTTGGCATAAAAGAAATAATCTACCAGGGGAACTAGAACTTAAATCAAGCTCCTTTATCTTGCTGAAAAGTTACTTGTAAGTTAGTTTTCACATATTTGAAGTGACCTCAGGTAGAAACTAGACCAAAAACACATTTTATGGTTTTGCAGAGTGAACTATGACCCCAAATCTCAGAGGAATTGAAAAAGAGGCTTCATGGATTCAGAGAGAGAAGAAGGAAGTTCAAACCATTTATTTTGTTCATTATAGTGAAAAAGGATTGTGTCCCCAACTCCAACGTCCCTCTGCTTGGATTTCTAACCATGAAGAGATTTAAATATTGGATTTAAGGCATCTAAACATGGACTTCCTCCCCAATCGACATCTGGGAATACCGGGAGTTTTCAGACAGCGCTGTCGTTTAAATAAGGCATAAATTGATCAACAAAACTCACTATGAGCCAGTTTTACCTCACAATTTCTGTTCTTCCACAGGTGGATTATAGGCGACCTCCTCACTCCGGTTTCACCACCAACCAAAACTAAAACAAAGAAAAACAGAGCAGCCTGAGTCACAGTGTCATAGATACATAATTCAGTAAGTAAATCGACTCCATGTTTAATAATTAAAGCAATAGAAGA